GCATCACTTTTGCTTCCCGGCGGACGCACTGCGCATTCACGATTCAAAATCCCAATAAACCCAATAGAAGGCTCTACATGCGATATTAGCCAGCAGAGTCCTTTGGCCGAAATGATCATATGATGCCGGTTAATCATTTGGGATGAAGCCCCGATGATGAACAAATATTGCTTCCAGGCAGTTGACAACACCTTTCGAGCCTTAATGGAAGCAGTTGATCCATCGAGGAAACATCTCCCATTCGGTGGCAAGTGTGTGGTGTTAGGTGGAGATTTCAGACAGATACTTCCCGTTGTCCCTAAAGGCAGTCGAAGCGACATAGTCAATGCAACCATCAATTCATCCAAGCTGTGGCGCGATTGTATTGTTCTGAGACTGACTCGGAATATGAGGCTTCGAAGTCTTGGTGGGGGCGATGAGTACGATGAGTTGAGGCGCTTCTCTGAGTGGCTTGCAGACATTGGCGACGGTACAGTCGGTGGATCGAACGACGGTTGTGCCGATATCGACATATCCGACGATTTTCTTCTACACTCACAAGGGGATCCTATTGGTACTGTTGTTGAGAGTACCTACCCGATGTATAGGAGTGCAGGTGACGATCTTAGCTATCTAAAGGACAGAGCCATACTCGCTCCCACACTTGATGTGGTTGAGTCCATTAACGAGTGCATGAGCTCATTGAACTCATCCGAGGGAAGGACTTACTTGAGTTCGGACACCCCGTGCAAGTCAGATGCTGGATATGATTCTCTTCAGGATCTTCACACTCCTGAGTTTCTCAATGGGATCAAGTGCTCTGGCCTTCCGAATCATAAACTGCACCTTAAGGTCGGCACTCCAGTCATGCTTCTCAGAAACATTGATCACTCAATGGGGTTGTGCAACGGTAATGTTAATCGAAATTTAATTTGTCATCTTTATTTCCTTTTATCTTTGTACAAATTTAATTGATATGATTTTGTTTTCCGAGTTTTGATGTCAACAGGTACACGGTTGGTTATCACTAAGCTTAGCAGCCATGTCCTCGAATGTAGGATATTAACCGGTGCAAGAGCTGGTGACAAGGTTCTTATTCCTAGGCTCACAATCATACCATCCGATTTGAGGGTACCGTTCAAATTTCAGCGTAGGCAATTTCCGCTTATGGTTTCATATGCTATGACTATCAACAAGAGTCAAGGCCAGTCATTATCACACGTCGGCTTACTATTGAAGAACCCTGTATTCAGTCATGGATAGTTGTACGTGGCACTATCTAGAGTCACGAATTGGAGGGGACTGAAGATAATGATCTGTGGTGATGGAGATTTTGACAATAGGAAAACCACGAACGTTGTATATAAAGAAGTGTTCAATAATATTTAGAATTAATTTTTTTTTTTGGCTTAATTTTTCCTCAATGATCATGTTATGATTTTTGTAATTGTTTTCTTTTTTTTTTATTATTTCCTTTATCATATAGCTTCCCGTGCAAATGCACGGAGTGGTATGAAAGATAATGATTTGTGGTGATGGATATTCTAACGATAAAAAATCCACGAACATTTCACATAAAGAGTGTTTAATTATATTTAGATTTTCTTTCTTAAAATCTTTTTTGTCAATAGTTACGTTATAATTTTTACTATTGTTTAAATTTATTATTATTATTATTATTTCTTAATCATATAGTTTTCCGCTAAAATTCACGGGTTACAACTAGTTAATATAAATCCTCTATCTTTTCAGAAAAAAAGAAATAATTAGGAAGCATCATTTTTTCATTTTAAAAATTGGAAAAAAAGGCGAAATTTTACATCTACCACGTGATTACAAATTAATTGCAATTTAACGATAGTACAAGTTTTATTTGCAATCCTACCAGTTGTATGGATTCAATTGCACAAAGACAATATGTCAGTTACAAACAAAAAGAAGAAACATCTCCTTAAATTACGTAACATGGAATTTGGTTATGCATTACAAAATAAAAAATCTCTCTCTCTCTCTCTCTCTCTCTCTCTCTCTCTATATATATATATATATAGTAGGGCTATACATTCTAAAAAATAGGGATCTGTTGAAAAAAAAAAAAACAGAATTATAATACATTTGAAATTCAAGCAACGAAATATTGTAAACACGCAAAAACTACATGATGGGGAATATCAAACTATTTTGATGATCTAATCTAAGGCTAGAAAATATATGAAAACATTTAAAAAAAAATATGTTGAAATGATGAAGTAAGGCTTGAAAAATATACAATATATAAACATCATATACAATCTTCAAAACAAATGCAGAGTTGCAGGTCGGTATACTGTAAGTATATCATTCATGTACATATACATAACATAATCGTGTTATATACTTAATATGAACGTGTATATAGTATATCATTCATGTACATATACATAACATAATCGTGTTATATACTTAATATGGACGTGCATTTTATTTTTTCAGTACGTGTTATATACATCACGTATATGTTGCATATTTATTTACATACATTTTTCCGGCTCAAATGCCCTAATTGACATGCAGCTCCTGAACAACAATCAATTAGTATATTTTCAGTATATGTTGCGTTCTTATTTACATAACTCTTACCAACTGTTGAACAACACACGACCGAACTACAAATAAAAATGAAACAAAGAACATTAATATAAATATCGAAAAACACTATAAACAATAATCAAAAAAAAAAAAAAATCAAATTTCTCATTTGTCATCTCATATCTATTGTCTCATAAAAAAAGAAAAGAAATTCTACAAAATACCTAATATAAACGGTAAATATACATCAAATAAACATTGAAAATCGATCCGATCGAAATTATCCTGATGCGAACGACTCGAAAGCTCCACCTCCAACGACGACTAACCTTTGCGGAGGAGAGCTCTTTGCGTTGGTCCTGCGAGTCACATCTTCCTGCTCCTTTGTAAAGTCACAAATTATGTTCAAATTCGTGCGAATCTCCTCAATTGACATGTTCTTGATCATGTCTGCCCACACTTGGAACGTGATGTCGAACATCCCTCTGATGTTCAAGTAGTTGGCAGCCTAAAAACACGAGATCACTAGCTACCGTTAAAAAAAAGAACGACACCAACATTCTATTATGTTTTGCTTGTATGAAAGCTTCTTGCAGTGAATACTGAGGACAACTTTGTATTGAAATTTTCCATGGCATCCATAAACATTTCAGACAATGTTATTATTATCTTTGCAATCATTAAATAGAATGAAATTTGCACCACAATTCTACAAGGCTCAACAAAAAAACTTGTAGATTCGCAAACACAGAATGATAACATCTACAAAGGCAAAGCAATAAGTGCAACAAAATAAGGAGGCGATAACACACAATGACAAAATCCAGGATTTCAAAACTCAAAATAATCGAACAAGCGGAAGATACCTTGATCAGTTCAAGCAGCAGACTATGGGAAAACGACCATTGATAAAAATGATGATTCATCAATAACGATCCATTCTTCGAGCTCGCCGAGCATAAAAAAGACGCTGTATGTTCAGAGCCTCCGGTTTCGAGGATATCGAGAGCATCGACGAAGAATGTTTGGATGAGGGGCGAGAGGAGGAGCGGGAGAAGGAAAAAGAAATAAAAAAGACGACGAAGGAGAATAAAAGGCGGTTGGTGGATGCGTCTTTGTATTCGGTCATGGAAAAGGAGAGGATTTGGAGAAGAAATAGTTGGGACGGGAGGATGAATGAAGGAGAGAGAAAGGTATAAATCTGGTTTAGACTTCTGTAAATCTCATTAAATCCGCCACTATCCAAATAAAAAATAACTTCTCCTTAATTACAAAATTGAAAACAAGGAAATTGATGCTCGTATGTTTACAAATAAAATAGTTTGGTTATGTACTTTTGCTAATTAGTATATATGTGTAGTTTATATGCAATAAAAATGGTTAGAGATGGTTCGGGAGGTAATTTTCTCAAAAAAAAAAAAAAAAAATGATTAGGTCAGCTTTATGTAGGCAAACCGAGCCCAATAAATTGGCCCAAGTCACGCCCAAATTTAAGAGGATCCCTGTGTTTTTTCCGCGACTTTTCTTAAATTCTAGAGGTCTTTCTCGTCTGACGAACAAAATTTCTTTTCCTCCTTTCTATACCGTCGTGCGCCACCGCCACCGCTACCGCCCCTGTACGCCGTCCACTCTCCGGTAAGTCTCCATAATTTGTATACCAAATTGTTCGTCGAAATGCATAGATTCGAAATATACAAGTAAATTTGTGTTTGGATGCCGGGAAAGTTGAAACGTAGTCAAGGTTGGCTGCCTGCTATCGTCCTGCCCGTACGGGAGTTGGGGCTATAAAAACTGTACAAGTTTTATATTATTAGAAGCTTTACTCTTGGGTAACATGGTGGTGATTTTGTATTTAAGTTTCGGGGTGGACTCTGTGTGTATGTGTGCGTCCTGAGTCCTGTGTGTGTATCGTGTGTGTAATATCTGTATATAGGTGTGTCGTGTGCGTAATATCTGTACATGGGTGTGTCGTGTGTATGTGTGCTGGGTGTGTGTGTAATCTATGAATTTTAGGTTGAAAATGGAAGAGCCCAAAAATGGAAGAGTATGAAAGTTCTTGGGTATTTAATTATCTTGCGAGGTATTGAATTATCTTGCGAACTTAATTGTGTTTTTGGAAGTTGCTGTAAATAAATTACTATGTGCTATTCCTGTATACTGTTTTGACCCTCGAACCTTAGCCGTCTATTCCTGGTGCCTTAAAAAAACTTATAGTTAAGTCTCTTTTCCTTCTGTCGCATCCCCACCCAAGGCGACCCGTTTCCATTTCACCTGAGGACATCAATTGCGAGCAAGGGAAGCTAAATCGAATTGCAAAACAGTAGAAAAATGGCTCAGAAATTGGCTCCTGAGAAAAGGTACAGAGATTCATGCATAATGGTCAAAAGGTCTTTGAGTGGGACCAAACGCTGGAGGAGGTGAATATGTACATTGATCTTCCACCAACTGTTCCAAAGAAGCGTTTCCACTGTAAGATTGAATCGAAGCACGTTGAACTTGGGATAAAAGGGAAACCTCCCTAACTTAATCATGACCTTACCTGCCCAGTGAAGACGGATTCTTCATTTTGGACACTCGAAGATGATATTATATTATTATGCACATAACTCTGCAGAAAAGGGACAAGGGTCAGACGTGGTCTTCACCTATAGTGGGTCAGGGCCATTTAGATCCATACACCACAGATCTTGAGCAGAAGCGACTCATGCTTCAAATGTTTCAGGAAGAGAATCCAGGCTTTGACTTTTCACAGGCTCAGTTCTCTGGAGGTTGCCCTGACCCGTGGACCTTCATGGGTGGCATCCGTTCTCCTTAATAGTTTTCTTTAGTACTTTTAGTCTTGGGAAAAACAATGTTGCAATCCTTGAACTGTAAGTAAAACCACTCGTGGGCTCGTCAAGTTAATGAGATTGAAAGGCCTGCAAAAGACCGATATGCTGAATGTTGGCTCTTGCAAGTGCTTATCATGAATTATTTGCTGCTTAAAAAAAAATGTCTCTCTTCCTTCTATAGGCACAAGAATTTCTCAGTTATCTATTTTATATGGAAGTTACGTCCAAAATACAATCATTTCGCAGGTCTTTTCTCTGTCAAACATGGCTGTGCACTGTTGGCCTGATTATAAGACTTTTTCACCTACCTAACATCCTTTTTGCTTCCAGTATCTTCATGAAATTTGGAGAGTCGTCTCTTGATGTTTAGTAGGAACAATTTTACCTTCGCTACCTGTTTCATATAAAAATTTATGTTAAAATAGTAACACCATTCTTGCTGTTTTTTGTCCATTTGACAGCAGTAGTGCTGCTAACTTTTGAACCATTTTCATCTTCATAACTTTCTTGTTAAGTGTTCAAAGTTTCCACAAGAGTTGTAGTTATGTTTGCAGTTATCTAGCAGAAGTTATATTCGTTATACGGTGACTGCTCATGAGTTACGTGTCCAGGTTTTGCAGCAGCAAAACCTGAATATGAGTTATCTGTTTTGAGTGATTTTTTCTCTTAGAACACACTTGTCTGTGTTGGGTATCTGAATATGAGTTTTAGATTTGTGTCTTGAGATTGTATTGGAGCTGTAATCACTTCAATATGTCTTTTCTGTTTGACGTTAGGTTTAATATAAGAACGTGGCATCTGTTTAGTGTGAAGTTCACAGCACCAAGGCTGTTCTGTTTTGCCTATTTTCACCCTTGTAATGTACTCGTTAGTTCTCGAAGTCTTCATAAGAGTTTTAGTCCAGTATCTTATCTTTTAGTTTCCTCAGGATTCAACTTGATATATATTTTATGGAATAAGTTGTTGTAAAAATACAAACGCTGCACAAAAATACTGTGTGGTTTGCCTGTTCTAAGTTGTGCCCTTACTTTTACAAATGGAATCTGCTCAACCTCAATTTTTCTAATGCTGCCCTTGCCCTGCTCGTACCTCGGTTCAGGTCACCTATGCCTGTTAACAAGGCGAGTCGTCCTTGAACTCCAAATTTGCAGGAACGCAGTTAAAATGTTTGATGTAATACCATTGTTATTTTCAGTTGCTCTATTTAGCACTAGTTGAGGCCCGGAAACCCATTTTACAACTTACGCTTGTTTTTTTTTTTTTTTGGGGGGCAAATTTTGATGCTTAGAATATTACAGTTGTGAGGATCAATCACAGTTTTGCTGCAGATATCATTTGAATGAGGGATTAAATTCCATTTTATTGCAGATAATTTTACTGTGAAAATGCTGCCACAAAGATTGAAGAAGACTGTGACGGACAACCCTAAGAAAGTAGCAGATTTGATTGACCTTGTGAATCTGCCCACCATACTCAGAGATTTTATGGGTCAGTCTCAGAGTTCTCATCTCAATTGCTTCAGGCGAGTTTGGTCTTACATAAAGGACAACAATCTCCAGGTTAGCTTTCAAACACCTCCAAATATTACAATTTGATAGAGATGCCAAAAATAAGGTTGAAAAACAATGGATTGTTTACTCAAGGAAAGGGAAAGCTGGAAAGGAATAAATAAGATATGGGAATAAAATCAGTAATGCAATATGGAGGCATGAATAAGGGGATTTAGATTGATTCCTGGAGAGAATGAAAAGCTATCGATTAGTTATCTTACCTTATATTTAATATCCTGTTACCTTAGATAATAGTAATAGTCTTATTAAAGGGGGGGTGAGGAAGTGAGAATGGGATCGAGTAGAAATAATCTTAATAGCTAGGCTATTGGGCAAGTTATCTTGTTGGGAAGTTTTATACTTCTGTCATTGTTCTCCTCTTTTCATTTATAATAAACTAGTACAACACCCGTGTATTACACGGGTGCTTGCTAATTGTTTTCTTAAAAATTAAAATTAATGAGAAAAAATAGTTTAAAATTTTAAATACCTTTTATAAGAATATATATATATATATATATTATTATATATTTATTATTATACTTTTTATTTTGGGCGACTTACTTGTGTTATATTATACTAATTTTTTAACTTACACTATATAACTATATTAAATATAAATATATCAATTGAGAAATAATTTTATTTTTTCTAATGAATTTTAATAAATATTATTATTTTTATTATTATAAAGATAAATTTAATTTATTTATTTTATATGTACTATATGGATGTCAAATCGAAGATCATCAAAAGATGATTAATTTGATATATTATATATGTAAAACCGATAAGAAATACAAAAGTTATCTACTTTTGAAATACATTTATAAATCAATAACTTATTGAAGGAAGCAAATCAAAATTTAGGGATATATTAGTCACTTAGTGTCTCACTATGTAAAATTACAAATAATTAAAGGGTTATATTAGTAAAAGTGATATTAAAATACCTAAGTTAGCTAAGTAATATTTATGGAATACCCGAACCTAGATTATTAATTATTAATATAATAATATTATTTGTCCAAACCTAATTACGAAGCATGATTCTTCGCCAAATAGGATTCCGAAGCACCAGAAGCAGCCACGTAAGCTCAGCGCATTCTGGAATTATATATAGGGAGGATTTGTGTGCACATTCCCCTTTTTAATTATCTGATTTTTTACTCCTATCAATTGGTCCGACCTGCCACTACGAATGACACGCATGGACTCTCAAGTCGAAGCCACGGAGAAGGGTCAGGAAGTGCACGAGCAACGCCTCAATAAAGTCGAGGAGGCCATCTCCAAACTTACGGAGTTGGTCAACCAATTTTTGTCAGTCAAGCATAACAGCGAAGGGAGCGACACCTCCCAAGACGATCACATCAACATCCCTAAACCACGCGCCCCACAGGATGTCCACCTCGGTACCAAACGAACTGAGATCCCATATTTTGATGGAACTGACCTGACCCACTTGGCTGGTTGTCTAGGGCTGAACAATATTTTACCATCCACAGCACGCGAGACGAGTTACGAGTTCCCACTGCTTTTATTAGCATGGAAGGGCCAGCCCTTCATTGGATGAGATGGCTACAACAACAACATCCCATGCTGACATGGTCGCAACTCAAATCTGAACTAATGGAGCAATTTGGCGGCGGTTTGTCTGCCCCACCAATTGAGTTGTTAGCTGCTCTCCGTCAAGTTGGTACGATGGATGAATATTGCAATGAGTTTCATGTTCGGGCTGCCCATATCTCTGGGATACCCTCTTATATCCAGTTAGGGTTGTTTCTGAATGGGCTTAAGGAAGAAATCCGTGTTCGTTTTTGCCCAAACGATGCTACTGATTTACGGACAACAATGCGGGTTGCGCGCTACATTGCTCGTGAACTCGATTTCCTGCACCAGGACAAACATAATATTCAATCTGCAGGAGTGAAGAGGTGGAGTAGTGGAGTACGGGTTTCGGTTTGGGTTGGACTTCAAGCCCAACGTCCGCCAACGCAAACTTGTCTAGTCCAAGCACACATCATCAGACAAACCCCGCCACTCCTACGCCCAACAATTTCCATAAAACCACGAAGGGAAATATTCTTATGCCACCTTCTCAACCACCAGGTGTCGGTATATCTTTTCAGCGAGATTCGGCTCCTTCAATTGTTCAAAAGGGTATTCGACGTTATTCTCACCAGGAATACCAGGACTTGCGTGCGAAAGGACTTTTTTTTTCGATGCAAACAACCCTACAGCCCGATGCATGTTTGTCCAAATAAATCATTGCGGACTTTAATCGCAGCAGAAGATGAGGACCTCACACCGACGACCCACCTAGGGTATATACCATGGATGATGCCTCATTACACGTGTTGGACCTGCCCCTCTCTTCCATTGGAGGTATCGACCGCCCCCAAACAATGAAATTTCGCGGCCAGGTAGAACACAATGATGTGGTTATTATGATTGACAGCGGGGCAAGTCATAATTTTATCTCATCTGACTTGGCAACCAAGCTCAAACAACCTTTGGAGGCCACACCCCGTTTTGGTGTTCGCTTGGGCGACGGACGCCAGTCTGAATCCTTTTGTAAATTTTCTAAACTTCCAGTTCATTTGGGGCCTCTTACAATGACCGTTGATTGCTTCGCTTTTCCCTTGGGTGCTGTCGATTTAATTCTCGGGGTTACTTGACTCGCATCTCTGGGCACTATCCGCGCTAATTAGGCGACAATGACAATGGAATTTGAAGACCATGGGCAGTGCATCACTTTGACTGGAGACCCGACTCTCTCTCGCCTCCCAATCTCCTTTAACTCTGTCGAATATTTGGAAGATGTTGAGTATGCTGTCATCCTTATGGACATATCATCATTTCAGCTCAACACCTCTGCCATCATTGCCATCATTGCCCCTCCTGGCCCAATCAGCTCTCTTGGAGGAGCTACTCAATGATTACTCGCAAGTCTTTGGCGAACCCGAGGGACTGCCACCGGTTCGACACAATGACCACAAGATTATTCTACATCCGGGCACAACACCAGTTAGCGTTAAGCCGTATCGATATGGCTACACCCAAAAAGACGAAATTGAACGATTGGTAGGTGAAATGCTTGCAGCGGGTGTCATTCAACCTAGTGTCAGCCCTTTCTCCAGCCCGATTTTACTCGTGAAGAAAAAAGATGGTAGCTGGCGTTTTTGCGTTGATTATCGTGAGTTAAACAAAGTTAGTTGCAGATAAATACCCCATTCCAGTTATCCAAGAGATGCTCGATGAACTATATGGCTCCCTATATTTCTCCAAGATCACGTTCTGGATACCATCAAATTCGAGTAGTGCCAGAGGACATTTCAAAGACAGCCTTCCGTACTCATTCTGGCCACTATGAATTCCTCGTCATGCCTTTCGGTCTCACCAATGCTCCTGCTACCTTTCAAGCCACTATGAATGACATATTTCGCCCTCACTTGCGTCATTTTGTGTTGGTTTTCTTTGACGACATTTTAGTCTACAGCCCGAGCTGGGAGGAACATCTTAAACATTTATCAGTGGTTTTGAATATCTTACAGTTTCATGAGTTCAAAGCTAATCTGAAGAAATGTCAATTTGGTCAGTCTTCAGTGGAGTATTTAGGCCACATCGTTTCTCATGTCGGGGTGGCTATGGACCCCGCCAAAGTCTCCAGCGTCCTCCGTTGGCCGGTACCTCGATCATTAAAAGCAGTTCGTGGATGTTTGGGATTAATTGGCTATTATCGTCGATTTATCCGGCACTATGGCTCAATTGCCAATCCTCTCACCACTCTTAAAGAAGGACTGTGGCTACTTTCCAATGGCCCGAGGCAGCACAATTTGCTTTTTGATGCTTTGAAGAATGCCGTTACCACTTCCCCAGTCTTGGCCATGCCAGACTTCTCAAGACCATTTATTATTGAATGTGATGCATCGGGAACTGGGGTAGGAGCCGTTCTGGTGCAAGAACGTCGCCCCATTGCCTTCTTCAGCAAGAGAGCCTCTCTGGGAAGACATTATCCAAATCTACCTACGAAAAGGAATTAATGGCTCTTGTGATGGCCATTCAACACTGGAGGCCATATCTCATAGGTCGTCGTTTCATAGTACGGACTGACCACTGGAGTCTACGTTATTTATTACAACAGCGTATTTCCACTCCGTCACAACAGAATTGGGTTGCTAAATTACTTGGTTATGATTTTGAAGTTGTATATAAGCCAGGCTCCACCAATTGCCTTGTCCCGCAGTCACGATGACTTGCAACTTTCTGTTATATCCATCCCCGTGTGGTTGGATTGGGGTGCCCTCGAGTTGGCTATTTTGGAGGATTCAACGCTTCAGCCACTCATTGCCCGATTGCATAAAGATCCTGATAGCTGCCCCCCGTACAAATTGATCAACGGTCGCCTCTTCTATAAGGGTCGTATTGTGCTTCCTTCTAATTTAACTTGGACCTCTCGACTCCTCGAGGAGTTCCATTCCACCCCAATGGGAGGGCATTCAGGTGCGTACCGCACATATCGTCGACTTGCTGCAAGTGTTTATTGGAAAGGTATGATGCGCCATGTCCAAAAATTTGTGGCAGAATGTCTAGTTTGCCCAGAAGAACAAATATGAAACCTTTTCCCCAGCTGGCCTGCTCCAACCTCTCCCTATTCCGACGGCGGTTTGGGAAGACATTTCCATGGACTTCATTACGGGTTTACCACGGTCTAGTGGGCTCGACTGCATTTGGGTGGTGGTTGACAGGTTTTCCAAATATGCCCACTTTCTTGGACTTCGACATCGTTCACTGCTAGATCTCTAGCTGATCATTTTGCAAAGGAAATTGTCCGCCTTCACGGAGTGCCCAATTCGATTGTAAGTGACCGAGACCCAATATTTTTAAGCCACTTTTGGACTGAGTACTTTGCCAAGATGGGGACAAGTCTTAAAATGAGCAGTGCTTACCATCCCCAAACCGACGGACAAACCGAAGTGCTCAACCATTGTCTTGAGCAATACCTTCGTTGTTTTGCTTCTAAACAACCCCGACAGTGGGGCAAGTGCCTTCATTGGGCAGAATACTGGTACAACACTTTTCAGGGAGCTGCTCAGCGGACTCCCTTTGAGATTGTGTATGGTAGGACTCCTCCAACCTTGCAAAAATATTTACCTGGTGAGTTTCGGGTGGCAGCAGTGGCCGATGCTCACTCTGATCGCAATGAATTACTCCGTCAGCTTCGTTTTAATGTGGAGAAAGCTCAACATCGCATGACAAAAATTGCAAATCGTACAAGGCGTGACGTTGAGTTTAATGTGGGTGATAGTGTTCTTCTCAAGCTTCGTCCTCACAAGCAAAACACTCTTCTCAACAGATTGAACCAAAAGTTAGACCCTCGATACTATGGTCCTTTCTTGATTTTGCAGAAGTTGAGTGCGGTTGCTTATAAGCTTCAGCTTCCATCTACCTCGAAGGTTCATCCGGTATTTCATATTTCGCAACTTAAGCCGGTGAAGGGTCACCATCCTGTTGTCCAAGTTATACCTGACGAGCTTCAAGTGGAGGAGGTCGGCTACACACCATATGACATACTAGCGGTTCGTCAATTAACCACAACTATTGGTACCACACCACAAGTATTGGTCCAATGGGAGGGACGCACCAGTGATGATGCCACGTGGTTGGATCTCTCAGATTTCAAGGGGCAGTTTCCTAATTCTAGCCTTGTGGAAAAGGCGATTTCTCTGGCGGGTGGTAATGATAGAGATGCCAAAAATAAGGTTGAAAAACAATGGATTGTTTACTCAAGGAAAGGGAAAGCTGGAAATGAATAAATAAGATATGGGAATAAAATCAGTAATGCAATATGGAGGCATGAATAAGGGGATTTAGATTGATTCCTGGAGAGATTGGAAAGCTATCAATTAGTTATCTTACCTTATATTTAATATCCTGTTACCTTAGATAATAGTAATAGTCTTATTAAAGGGGGGTTAGGGGGGTGAGGAAGTGAAAATGGGATCGAGTAGAAATAATCTTAATAGCTAGGCTATTGGGCAAGTTATCTTGCTGGGAAGTTTTATACTTTTGTCATTAATAAATGAAAAGAGGAGAACAATGATAGAAGTATAAAACTTCCCAGCAAGATAACTTGCCCAATAGCCTAGCTATTAAGATTATTTCTACTCGATCCCATTCTCACTTCCTCACCCCCTTTAATAAGACTATTACTA